TCCCTGGGCCTCCCCTGGATGTGGGGTCTGGCCGTGGTGTGTGAGGCCCCCCCCCGCACATGCGTCTGTAACGAACTGGGGTCACTTTCTCGTGTTAATCTCTCAGGAAGATCTAAGGCTGGGCCCGCAGGCAGACCCCAGAGGAGAGGAGGGTCTTCCTCCCCCACAGCCACCCTCTTCCTCCCTCCACACACACTTCTCACCCAGCCCTACGCGCACCAGGCCAGCTCGGCCGGGATCCCTCTGGGTTCAGGCTTCTCCAAACACCGGGAATGAGGAAGAGGAGGGGGAAGAAATAAACCGCAGCTGGTTTGTAGGCAAAATAGAAACAAACAGAATCAGACAGAACACAGGCAGCAGGTGGGGGGCGAGGGGCAGGGAGCAGACATCGGGAAGAGGGGGAGATATGTGAGGATCAGAGAGGACAGGTTCTGACGGAGCAGAGCTCAGATCCCACTCCAGTCGTCACATCTCTGTGTTAAAGCCTCTCGAACCCGGGCCGGGCTGTCCCTTAAGCCTTTAGCAGACGGAGTGACACTGGGGAAGGTAAGAGAGTGGGAGGAGCAGCTGCAGAAAGGCGTCCACGGGGCGGCAGGAGGGAGGCCTCCCCAGTGATTATGCCCCTGGGGCAACGGGGCACAGAGAGGAGCCCCAAAGCCGAGGCTCAGGGGCTGGGGGGCTGGGGAGTGGGAGGAGGAGTTGGAGAAAACTGAAAAGGGAAGCTCACAAACCAACCAGCAGACCCCTTCCCAGCTGGTGTGGCTGGCAGCAGGGCCACCCAGAGCCGCGGAGGGAGGGCACGAGGCGGTCGGACACCAGCTCTGTGGCTACCAAAGGCCTGGAGACGCAGGACAGCCGCTGAGACCACTGCTCCCAGGGACTCCACCACCAGCAGCGCTGCCTGACCTTCCTGCGCCCGCCCCCACCTCCACTTGCCCAAACCAGGGCGGGATGGAAGCCCGCAGAGGGACTGCAGTTTGCAAAAGCTCCCAGGGCCCAGGCGATGCTGCCGTGCCTTCGCAGGGACAAGCGACCTCCTAGATGTGTGTGTGTGTGGGGGGGCTCCCGTCCAGGTGTGTAAGAGCCACTGTGATGTGCGTCCAGGTGTGTAAGAGCCACTGTGATGTGCGCGGACAGGTGACAGGACCCGGCTCCACCACAAAAGGAAGGGAGAGAATGACCACCAGTGACCAGCTCAGCATCAGGTGCTGTTTCCTACATTCGGTTAAAAACAGCAAATAGGCCAACAGGACGGCACTGTGCTGAGTCCACGCAGCAGCCAGCCGCGTGGCTGCGTATCCCTCGCCCAGGAGGCCGCCCTGCCCCGTCAGTCTGCAATCACCGCCAGTGGCACCAGGGAGGCCACCGCCTGCCAGACCCTGGCCTTCCCTCCTGGCCGCAGTCATTGGCTCCCTGGCAACCACCCCCTCGCTGTGTCCCTCCTGACGCTAAACCCTCCCGTTGGGCACAGCTCCGCAGAGGCCTTCCAGGTGCGCACAGGACGCGGCCGGGTCAGGATCGCTGGTGAGGCCGGTGAGAGCCTGGTTTCACTGGGTGGGATGCTGCTCTTTAGCAGCCCGACAGTTTCCCAAGCGCGGCTGTTGGCGGGCGAGTCCGGGAGCACGGGCGTGTTGTAGCTGTTCGGTATGACTGCAATGCGCTGCTTCAAATTCACCATTTCACAGGTTCGTGAAGATGAGGCTAAAGTAACCCTAGTTTTTAAAAGTTAATAACTAACAAATACACTACATTATAATACGATTCAGTTGGTCGTGGGATCTCACCAAAGTCATAGGGTCACTCAAAAATGACTGCAGTTCTCGAAATAGCTGCCTGGGCTGGTGCTTCTAATGCAGTGGTTCTCAACCTGTGGGTTGCCACCCTTTGGGGGTTGAACGACCCTTTCACAGGGGTCGCCTAAGACCATCGGAAAACACATATATAATTACATATTGTTTTGTGATTAATCACTATGCTTTAATTATGTTTAATTTGTAACAGTGAAAATACATCCTGCATATCAGATATTTATAACAGTAGCAAAATTACAGTTATGAAGTAGCAACGAAAATAATTTTATGGTTGGGGGTCAGCACAACATGAGGAACTGTATTAAAGGGTCGCGGCGTTAGGAAGGTTGAGAACCACTGTTCTAATGGCAGACACATCCCCTCAGGGTGTCTGACTTCTATTTTCATATGTTAAGTGAAGTAACAATGTTTTCAGGTACTCCCACATTTTCCTTCTCAGACAGCGTTTTCAATGTAAATTATTTCACAGGCAGATGAACATTCAATACTGCGAAGTCCGTACAGATATCTGCCTTCCCTAACACGCGCTTACCGAGCTGGTTATCCCATGATTGTAAGTCGCTGCCCTCTCCTTTTGCCAAGTTTCATTACAGAAAACAGATGTCCATGTCATCTCCAGGGTTAAACGAACCCTCCCAACTCCTGCCCGCTCACTGCGGCGGAATGCGGGGGCGCCCTGGGTTCTAGTGTCACAGTGGCCAATTACTTCTCATGGAACTTAGAGGTTTCAGAGAAGTTCCCAGCATCGCATCAGCGTGCATTCGTTCTGTCCTCCCTGATGTGGGAGTAGACAAGTGACAGGACAAGATCCGCTATCTCCTATCACGGCCACCCCACACGCCGCGATAAATTTCCCACGCGATAACCTTCCACTGCCACCTCTAGCTGCAGGAAAGACTAAGACCGTGAGGTACAATCACGTGCCGTATCACGGCGTTTGGACCACGACGGACTGCATGTATGACGATGGTCCCAAAAGGCTATCACGGAGCTGAAAGACCCCCCTCGCCTAGTAGCATCGCAGCCACCATGACATCACAGCACCACACGCTACCACTGCCTGCAGTGCGCAGCCCAGGAACATGCTGGCCGGGCTAATGGTCCAGGAGCAACAGGCTGCACCAGACAGCCTGGGCACGCCGAGGGCTAGACCGTCCAGGCGTGTGTAAGGGCCTCAGTGATGTGTGCCCGACGCACTTCTCAGAAGCCGTCCCGGGCGTTAAGCGACGCCTGACTGTCTCTGGAACGCGGGAAGGCGATATGGAGACTGGCTCAAACCCCCCTCGCCTCCGGGACTGTAACCACTGCGACCCTTAACAAAGTCAGGGTCTGCGGGCAAAGACCAGGGGAGCTTGCTGAGCTCCTGCGGGGTGTTCGTCCGACGGCGCCTGCCGACCCCACCTCGGCTCTCAGCCTCTCTGAGGAGCCGCCACTCTTCGCTCCCGACCGTCCCTGTAGAGTCACTCATACACACTGTGCTATGTTTACTTCATGGAGTTATTATTTCTTACCCGAACGGCGGTATGCTGTGCACACTGCCCTGCACTTCCCTTTTGTACCTAACGGAGAAGTGGAGGACTCGTTCTATTTTGATATGTAAGAAAGCCACTTCCTTCTTTCTAATGGGCAACAAGATTCCATTGTATCAACATGCCACATATCCGGCCTATAAAAGGACCTCCTGGTCGTTTTCAGTCTTTGGCGATTATTAAATACCGCGCCGAACAGCCTTGCACATGCACGACTGGCACTGAGGGGTGCTGGGAAGGAGGCACCCAGCCAGGAACCACCTGCACACCTCGGCTGGCTGTCTGGTGCAGCCTATTGGCCTGTCCAGCACGTGGCCGGGCTGAGCTCTATAAACTTTTGAATTGGCTGCTGGCAATTCGGGGGGGATGACGTTACATTAAGGGTTAAAATTTAAAGAGCAGGACGCCCCATGTTAGTCTTCCCACTGACAGCAGAAAAGGCCTTCTGTCACACGTCACCGTTTCCTAACCCTCGCACACACGTAAACATTTCCAAACTCTGAATGCACCGCATGATCCGGGACACCTTTCAGCCTCTGTGAGCCGGTAATTACTCCTGCTGGCAGGACAGGCAAGTGTCACCCCTGGTCACTCCAGTCACCAAAACGCTTGACCATTTAAGGAAGAAATAGGAGCCATGCTGTTGTTAGAAAACCTTTGGTGACACCTCCTGGAAAGATCAGGAAAGTGCAAGCATCAAAACTAAAGGTGTCAGTGATTTGTAAGAAAATTCTTTCAAGAAATGCTACATTATCAACGCTCTTAATGGTACAAAGAACAATTTTGTATTGGGGGGGGGAACACTGATTTTGATGACTCCAAAAAGTGATTTGGAAGAATCGTTCTAAATGAGGAGAATCAGAATAGTAATATCTTAACTGAGATACGGTTTAGATTTTCATTTTTGTAGCTGCACAGAAGATATGAACAGGATAAAGTGCCAAATAAGTCCAAGAGTTCCTTCAGTAAATAAAAAACAACACAACACAAAACTAAGCCCTAAGAGAATATTGCATCGAAAGTACCGGCCACAGTTTATCACAGGTTCTAAGCTGCACTGTATGTATGTACACAGTGCAACTAGAACCAGCATCTCAGATCTGAAGAAATCATCTTACTTTAGGTCCCTCAGTAGTATTTCAAAGTTTCTCTCGTATTGATTTTGCACGTTCTTAAGGCTATTCCTATGTATTTTATCTTCTTCCATTACATTTTTTTTCATCAGAATGCTATTTATTTTTGCCTATTTAATTAATAGCCACCTTACTGAATTCTCTTACTATAACAAATTTTCAGGGCATTCTTTGGGTTTCCCAAGTATGCAATGAAATAAGTTTAAACTGAAATCCTAAACTAATGTGCTGTAATTCAAGCCCCATGAAGGTCAGGATTGTGTTACTTTCAGTGTTCTATGCTCAGCACCTAGCATATTACTAAACTACATCAATGCATCTTCATCAAACTAACCCCTCCCCACAGAGATGTTGAGTTTAGTTGAAAAAGTCAAATATAAATGAGGAAATAGTATTCAGGATCTTACAGACCCTGTAAGAAACTGGGTATTTGATAACTAAAGCTCTATATGTTTGGTTATAATTAGTTCTATTTTAATAACTAAAAAACCTAATCATGAAATAAGTGTTTTACTTTAAACACTCACCTGTTGGGTCTTAGATCTGATGAGTCAAACTGGATATTCATGGGCCCAGGATGTACTTCACGGCCCGCCTCGGGGGCGAGAAGCTGCCTGGAATCGCTGTCCAGATCTGCCATTTCCTCCGACTCTGAGCACTGCAGCAGTCAGTCCTAGATGAGTCAGAAAAGATGGATCATTTAAAGTTTAATTAAAATTCATTTCACTATTAAGAAATAATACATTTGCATGCATTAGACACTAGAAAAATACAGGAATCTGCTGCAGCTATCTTAATGCAGTATATGCCTAAAAGACATTTATTTTATCAGAAACTTGAAGTTCCTGCTTATTTTTCAGCTTGCTAAAAAATAAGTGGACCAATCCCTTTCCAGTAATAAAACAGATTCGGCTATTTGAACCCATTTTCCTGCAGAAAACAACTAAAAATCAGGCCCACTGTTGGTAACAATAAGGAATGTTAGAGAGGCAAGTGGCTTAAGGGAGCTGCTTCCGCCCTGAGGGTGTTTGCTGCACCAGGGGTACTGGGCTGACCTTTTCAAGGCCAAGTGGGCTGGTGGCTCAGCTGGATGAGTGTTGTCCCAGGCACCAAAAGGTTGTGGGTTTGATTCCTGGTCAGGGCACATACCTAAGGGAAGCAACAGACCCATGTTTCTCTCTCTTTCTCTCTCCCTCAATAAACATATTCCTGAGTGAGGATACATTAAAAAAAGAAAGGACCCATACAATAACCAAAATTGAAAACTCAATGAATAGGTTTAAAAGTTGATGAGAAAATGAATAAACTCAACGATTAAATCAAAGAAACTATCCAGAAGTGATGGGGGGCGGGGGGCGGGGAGACAGAAAGTGTTGAACAGATTAAGAGACACGGGAGATGGAGTGAGAAGGTCTAACATGCATGTAACTGGAGAATCAGAGAGGAAATAGCAGAGGCAATATCGAAAGAGATAATGGCTGAGAAATTTCTAGAGCTCATAAAAGATAATCTGCAGACTCAAGCTTAATGAATCCAAGCAGAATTAACAAACGGCTCAGAAAGAGATTCCTTGTAAAATATTCCTGCTCACTGACAATGCACCTGGTCACCCAAGAGCTCAGGTGGAGATGGACAGTAAGATGAGTGTGGTTTTCATGCCTGCCAACACTACCTACATTCCGCAGCCCATGGATCAAGGAGCAACCTTGACTTTCAAGTCTCATTATTTAAGAAATACCTTTCGCAAGGCTATAGCTGCCATAGAGAGTGATTGCTCTGATGGATCCGGGCAAAGTAAATGAAAAACCTTCTGGAAAGGGTTCACCATCTAGATGCCATTGAGAACACTCACGGGAAGAGGTCAAATGCCAACACCAACAGGCGTTTGGAAGAAGTTAATGTAACCCCCAGGCAGGGCTGAGGGGTTCAAGACCTCGGTGGAGGAAGTGACTGCACGTGTGGTGGAAACCGCAAGAGAACGGGAATTGCAGTGGAGCCTGATCATGGGACTGGGGTGCGGCAATCTCACGGCAGGTCTTTAACGGAGGAGGAGTGCTTCTTAGGGACCAGCAGGGAAAGTGGTTTCTCGAGATGAACCAGCATCTCAGATTTGAAGAAATCTCCTCCTGGTGAGGACGCTGTGAAGACGGTAGAAATGACAACAAAGGATTCGGAATGTTCCATAGACTGAGTTGGCAAAGCAGTGGCAGGGTGTGGGAGCACGGCCTTCAATTTTCACAGTTCTATGGTGGGTGAAATGCTAAAAAAAATAAAATAAAATAAAAAAACACCCGCATCCCATGCGACAGAGAAATCATTAGAAGCGAAGAGTCAATCCCCGGCAAACTTCACTGCGTTAACAACTGTCCCGGCCGCCCGGCCTGGCGCCACCTCCGCCCTCACCTTGGAGGCAAAAACACCAAGCCCCGTGGGAGGCTCAGAGGACGGTCAGCAGTTTTTAGCAATAAAGTGTTCCCATTGAGATGTACGTTTCTAAGACATGACGCTATTGCACACTTCACAGACCACAGTGGAGTGTAAACATGGCTCTTACAGGGGCTGGGAAACCAAAAAGTTCGTGCGCCTTGCTTCACTGCGGCGGCTCCATCGGGCCCGCGGCGGCTCCAGGCTCTGCCTGAATTCTAGACGGAAGAGGTCAGGCCACCTCCCTACCCGGACACGCGCTCTCCCCACGGAGCCGGCAAAGCCGGGGAGGCCGGACCTGTCCGGCTGCGCCCCACCTGTGGTCCGAGCGCAGGACTCAGCGGCGTCCTCCGATCCCGCCCGGCAGCTCTGCTCCGGGGCAGAGAGGACGCCCCGATGCCCGCACCCAGGTCCCCTGCCGCCCCCCGTCTCAGCCAGTGGGCATCTCAGGTGACCCTGCCGTCCCTAGGCTCCATCGGGCGCCCACTCAGCCTCTGCCGGACTCGCTCGCACCCGCTCTCCGCGAGCCGCGCGCGCCCCCCTCCGGAGCGATCTCCGGTCGGGCTCGGCCTCACCGCTCCCGCAAGAAGCCACTGTTCCACCAAGAACTTCCCCGACTGACAGCCGGCGCCGCCGCCGCCAGCTCAGCCGTTCCGCCGCTTCCCCTCCGCTCCCTCCCGACAGGCGGGCTGCAAGATGAGGGAAGATGCTCTACCTGAGCAGGCCAGGCCCTCCGCCTCCAGAGCTCAGGGGGCAAGGTGGGAACCTTCCCCAAACCTCGGAACTCGGGGCAGCCCGGTTTCCTGTACCCGGGCAGGAAGGGGCCACAGCCTGACCGCGGGGGCCGGCGGGGAATGGAGTTCCGAGAGCGCTGGGTCGCAGCTGCGGACTACAACTCCCAGAGGCCCGTGCGACAGCCACACGCCCCTGGCCTCGGAGCCCCGCCCTGGTCTTGCCGAGCACGGGGTGCGCGGGAGCGCGCGGCTCTGGTCCAGCTTCTGCCTCGGGATCCCGCCGGTGTCGCGTGCCTGCTGGCGGCTCCAAGGCGCCCAGAAGAGGGAGGCGTCGCCTGCAGTCCTCACAGCCCGGAGGCCTCGTGGGAAAGGGCTGCTGCGGCATCTCCATCGAGGGGGACCGCCCGTGCTCTGCCCCTCGGGCTTTGCTGGTGGCGGTCCCTGCGCTGGGCAGGGCGTGAGCCACGGACGCCCAGGGAAGCTGGCTGGAGAACTGTCGGGTTGGCACCCTTCCTCCCAGGTCAAGACACTGAGCTTTCTTTCCCCCACTTTTAAGTGTGTGGACACATTAATCTCAGCTAAAGAGGGGCTTGGGAGGCTTTGAGCGCCCTCCTGCCATCCCTACCGTTTCTCCAAAGCCGCCCCCAGTAAGTCGGTGCGCCCCATAGATCAGTGCGCCCCAAAGATCAGTGCGCTTGCTGGGAAAGGCAGCTCCAGGCGCGTCCTTGAAGAGCGCATGGCAGCACCTGCACTGTCACGTGATCAGCCGAATGCATGAGTCCCCGTGTCATAAACAGCTAATGGTAGCTGGACTCCAGAAACGGCTGTCCCTGAGTTACCGATAAGGAACCGGCCCTAGAGAATGGATGACCTGCCCGAGGCCAGAAACTATGAGGTGGCAGATAAGCTGGAATTCCAGCCGAGGCGGCGTTCCAAAGCGTGTGCTCAAACAACAGCTGGCGGGGCCTCCGCCATGGAAGGCGTGGCAACTGCATGGGACGTGACGTGGTGGAGATTGACCCTCTCGACTTGCAACGGACTGAGCTGCTAGATCAGGTTCATGCCACCCTCAGTGTCTGAGTAACTTTTTCTCAGTGTCCTTAGTTTCTGTCTACTTAGTAGTTAAGTCCAAACAAATTAGTATGTGCTTTGGTCCTAACAACTTAGTAGCCATTTATAAACATATATAAATTGAAAGGAAAATATTTTATTTCATTCTTAACCACAATTGCTCACTAATGGGATGTATACGCATGTGGGCCCTGCACAACTTCCTCAAATCAGATGGGACACCACCACCCCCATTTCCGGGCCCACGGAGGATTTGCACACTGGCTCGAGGTCACAGCAACTGCTGAGCACTCAGCTTTGCAGAATATGATGTTCTCCCAACGCACGGACGTGACCTAATGTTGAAAGTGGGAGTTACCTCAGGCTGGGAGTTCACATGGTGTTTGGCAGAGGTTGCTGTGTTTTTCTCAGAAATTTAAAATGCTCTGGTGTGCCTGCGAGTCTCCATGGTGCGCTCAGTTTGGGAGAGGCGGGTCACTAGCCATGATTTTCCTGGCCTACAGCAAACACTGGCAAGCGTTGTCTGTAAAGAGCGCAGTTGTAAATATTTTAGGCCTTGTGGCCATCTAGTGTCCGTGAACAATTACTACTGAACATATGGTGCGAGTGCAGCCGACAGCACATGTAAACAGATGCGTGGCTGTCTTCCAATTCACAGCAGCAGCAGCAGCGGCTGGGTTTGTCCCAGCACCCTCGTTTCCTGACCCCTGGCCTAGAGGACACAGAGTGGGGATTTTTGTTTACCAGCTGGAATTCGTCTCAGGGGAAGAATTTGTCCTCAACAGTCTTATTACCCCCAATCACATTATCAAACTTGTTTTTCTTTTCACGTTTCCAAAATGAGTTGGTTGCCTCACATCTTGCAAAGGTGATCAATTACTTGGATGACGTGGAGATACTGCGGAAAACGTCTAATATATCAGTTCTCTTAATCTGCATTGCTTTGGAGGATTTAGTGCCTCTTTCTAAAGTGTGAAGGGTCTGACCTGTAAAGTTTGCTTCCAAACTGTGAGACACTTTTGAGGAAACTCTTGTTCTTCCTTATTACGTGGGATTTGGAGAAACTGTGTGTAAGCTTTCCAGTGAGTCTTTTGAGACAGGAATCTTAAGGTTTTGGCCACCGCCACGCTTTTCACTAGACGGCTCCTTGAGAGATGGGCTAATTTCACTTGTAGCACTTGGCATAGCACCTGGCATACAGTAGGTGCTCACTTAAAGCCTATTTAACAGCTCGATGAGTTTCATCTTTTTCTATGTTGCAATTTATTACCACCCCCAATTTAAGGCCTCCCACCAGGGAGAACCAGACAATAGCATGGACTGGCTTCAGTTTCTGGGGACGCACATCTGCCTGGTCTGTGTTCGTCCTTTTCTCTTGATGTTCACATCTTTGAGTTATATTGTTTCCATCCGTTTCCTTTCCTCAATATTGCACTTCAGTTCTCATCAGAATTCACTTATTTTTTAACCAGAGCTAGCTCTCAAAAGTTATATGAATTGGGTGAACCATTTTATTGTAATATCTGAAGGCAACAAAAATCTATTCTTTCCAAGAGGTGAATAGCAGAGAATGTTTGTTGTGTTTAAAAAAATATGTTCATGTCAGAAAATATCTCCAAGTTGTCCATACTTTTAAAAAAATCTAATTGGTTATCATTCTATCTACACAGTTTATCTTGCTCTTTTCATTTAACATAAGACCTTTTAAAAGAACCACGTTCAATGCAAAGTTGGTTAAGACTCTTCAGAGGAGCCTGCATAGGAATTGAGAGCACCAGGGGTGCCTGTGGCTGTCCCCACAGAGCCACCTCGAGGACACGATGCGAAAATCTGGTATAAAAACAAGTTATTAAGCCTGACCTGTGTGGCTCAGTGGCTGAGCCTCGACCTAGGGACCAGGAGGTTGAGGTTCGATTCCGGGTCAGGGCACATGCCCGTTTTCGGGCTCGACCCCCAGTGTGGGGTGTGCAGGAGGCATCTGGTTGATAATTCTCTAAGCATTGATGTTTCTCTCTCCCCCTCTCTGAAATCAATAAAAATATATTAAAAAAATAAAAACAAAATATATTTTTATTGATTTCAGAGAGAGGAAGGGAGAGGGAAAGAGAAACATCAAGGACGAGAGAGAATCATTGATCAGCTGCCTCCTGGACGCCCCACACCAGGGGTCGGACCCACAACCCGGGCAAGTGCCCTGACCGGGAATCGGACCGGGATCTTCCGGCTCACGGATGGCCGTTCAACCCCTGCGCCAGGCCGCCGGGCTCAACGAGAATACATTTAAAAACCACCCTGGAAGTTGTTAATAATGACGGTCACGCCAACATACATTGAGTTGACCTTCGTTGAGTATGACCTTTTGGAAACAATGCACCCGGAGGACAATCTTGCACGTTCCCTGCTCACTGGACGCACCGGCCGGGCTCCTGGAGGAAGACGGACCCGCGGGCGGCTCGGGAGACGGAAGGCACAGCCCAGCCTCGGGCCGGGCCGGGCGGCCCGGTTCCCGCACGCGAGGCCGAGGGGTCTGTTGGAGTCAGAGCGTGGGACGCGGTGGAAACAAAGCCCGACGTAAGGACAACAGGTCCTGAGCGGCGGGTCGGTCGGTCGGTCGGAGGGATGGGCAGTGCCCGGGGGTGCGCCCGCAGACCACGTGACGGACGGGCCACTCTAGTTTGACCTGTGCCCCTGGGGTCAACGGGGTCACAGGTCCCAGCACAATTTCCTCTTCCTTCGGGTCAGGGGGCGGCTCCTCTGCAAAGGCGTGGACCGCACCTCCGGACAACCGGGCCTCCTGGGACACGCGTGGGCAGCCCCGCCGCCACCCCAGGGCTAGCGGAGTCCCCGGATGTGAAGCGGGAACGGCAGACACCATCCGAGGGGCCAACTGCCGGGCTGCGGGCTTCAGGCGGCGACAGGGTAGGCCGAGCGCGGTCCCGCGCTCCGTGTTGGGACAGGCGGCCGGGACTGCCTGGCGCGCTGGCACGGGGCCGGGGCCTCCGCACTCGGAGGACGTCCCGAGAGGGAGGGAC